ATGCCGCCAATCCGTGTTTTAATTCTGGGCCACTCTTTCATTCGCCGTGTGCACGATTTTCTTTGCCGCAATTTTAATGCGCGCATTGCGAAAAATTTAAGTCTAGATGGCGATCTGATCATAAGATGGCATGGGATTGGAGGTAGAACGGTTTCTAAGACTAGGGAGTACCATTTAGGTATAGTAGAGGAGTTCGCTCCCAATGTAGTGATCATGCAATTAGGTACGAATGACCTTACCACCATTTCGGCCGTTGAAACTGGCTCGGCAATTGAAGATCTGTGTCGTTTACTTTATGAGTCATATGGAGTGGAATTGATTTGCGTTTGTCAAACCCTTTACAGGCAAGATGCCTCTTCTTTTAACAAACAGGTTGACTTGTTAACGAAGTATCTGAAGGTGGTTTTAGAACCCATTCCTTATGTATTTTACTGGCGTCACAGAGGGTTTTGGCGTTGTAGATCACGTTTTCTTGCTCGGGATGGTGTTCATTTAAACAAACTCGGACATTATAAATATTTTCGCAGTTTGAGAGGCGCAGTTCTTAGATGTATACGAATTTTCTCAGGTCGTTAACAGCAGTAATGTTTTCCCATGTATTTGCCAGTTCCCTAATTTTGATATTTGTTGCTCTTTACCAAGCCGAATGTTATGCAGCCTTGCCCTTTGTTCACTTGTTGTTGGAAAGTAATTTCCTACTTATAAGCAGGCTTGCTACTTTGTTCATGCACGGTTTAAATACCGTGTTTATTTTTGCGGCTTTGGTTATGTTATTTTGTGCTTTCGCTTTACCATTTTGAGTGTACAACCACTTTTGACCGCCCCCTTTTTTGGGAGGTGTGTCCAATGCACTCGGTATCAGTGATTATGCACGTTTTTTCATGGAACTTGGCTTTTTTCTAGACTGTTACTGCTGTCTTATCTATCGTATTTTGTCACTTATATTTTTCAATTTCTTTTGTAGCTACGTCGGGCCTGTTAGGCTATATATATCTTGAACTGCCTCTCCCAAGTGCTAAGTAATTTTGCAGACAACAATGGCTCGCGGGGTATATTCGTATCCCCTGCAGTGCTGTTAATTGTCTCAGTCTTGTTTATTTTTGCCAGTTTCAGTAGTCTTTTTTGTAAAAAATGCCTCCGCGAAAACGACCAGCAACTCAAGCTACAGCGCCCACCGCCATTCCATCCGTTCGCCCCAACAAGCGAGCCAGGCGGCCAAGACTGCGTCCTGAGGAGGCGCCCACTGTTCATGAGAGCACTACAACTGAGCAGGCTAACGTGATTGCTTCAAACCCTTCAAGTTCATCCCCAGGCACAGTGTCCGTGGATGTCGACGCAATCACCGCTACCATTTCTGCCGTAATTACACAAGCAGTAAAGACGGCCTTCTCGCCTGAGAAATTGGCTTCGCTGCTCGACAACAACTCCCCAACGCCAGTAGTTACGCAAGCGCCAACTGGACTTGTTGAACAGGCTGTGGATGACGACGTCCATGTCATCACCAATCCTCAGTCAGGTATTGGAGCAGTTGATCCTTTAGACTTAGTTAACACAGGTCCGTATGATCAACGACCACAAGTTCAATTCACCAGTGTTTCTGTCCCTCTCACTTCGAGAGTGAGTTCCAAAATCAAAGCACAAATTTGGGCGAATGAATATATTAATTTCGGGTCGTTATTGTCTGATTCACCTCAGCAGGAGGGGAAATCCTCATTATCTATGACACCGTCAGTCGCCGGTTCTTCCAGTCAGCCTCAACTGACGCTTGACCCCTGTCACGTTTCTAAGAAAATAGCCAACATTTCCCAGTGGGTCTCTGCGTTTAATATTTTCGTTTCTGTTTACGCCGAAAGATTTAACAATTACACTCCTCAATTAATGAAATATTGCGAGGTGGTCCGGGATCTGTCTGCAAAGGGGGGAGATTGGCATTGGTGTGATGAACAATTTCGTTACGTAAGACAATCGGCACCAGAGCAGTATCCATGGGATAGGATACATTGGGAGTTGTGGTTACGAGCGTCAAATACTTTTCGCAAACCGCAACCGCCCACCAACAAACCACGTTTTCGTTCTCAATTCTTTCCGAAAGGGACCTGCTGGGCCTTTCAAGCAGGTAAGCACTGTTCCGGATGCAAATTCGAACACATGTGTTTTAAATGTGGTGGAAAACACCCGGGCGGCCAGTGCTCAGCTTCGGCGCCCAAAAGTGGATTCCCTTTCAGTTCAAAAGGCAAACGAGATAGTACATCGGGTTCTCCACAGCAAGCCAGTCACGCCAGTAAGAGTGGATCGGCTTGATTTTTTGCTGCATGGTTATGACAGAGTTTTACTTTGTTGGTGAGCGGTTTTCGTCTGAGTCTCCTAATCTTAAAAGCGCTCTGGATCAGCCAGTGGTAACGCATGCTAAGTTACGCAAGGAATGTGATGCAGGGAGAATTGTTGGTCCTTTCACAGCTCCCCCCTTTCCCAATTTTCGTTGCTCTCCACTGGGCATTGTTCCCAAAAAGGATCCATCTGAATTTCGATTAATACACCATTTATCTTACCCCAAGGGTTCTTCCTTAAATGACTTTATTCCGGATTATTGCTCTACCTTGAAATAAGCATCGGTCGGGGATGCGGTGAAGTTACTCAAGCGGTTAGGAAAGGGTTGTTTTATGGCCAAAACCGACGTTAAATCTGCTTTCCGTATAATTCCTATTCACCCTGCTGACTATTCCTTGCTTGGTTTGAAATGGGACAACATGTACTATTTTGATAGGTGTCTCGCGATGAGGCTTTCCAGTTCCTGTGCGATTTTTGAAGCATTTAGTACGGCACTTGAGTGGTTGTCCATCAATCATCTTAGTGCTTGCGCAGTATTACATATTTTAGACGATTTTTTGTTCATAGCCCAAAGCAAAGGACAATGTGAACACGACTTAGATAATTTTATTTTGATGTGTAATTATCTTGGCGTTCCTTTGGCCCCTGAAAAAACGGTGGGTCCCGCGACTGTTTTACAATTTGCTGGAATTACGCTTGATTCTGTATGCCAAGAGGCTCGCCTACCAGAAGACAAACTTCTCAAGTGTCGTGCGATGTTACAAAATTTCCAGGCCCGGCGCTCCGTCTGCCTAAAGGAACTCCAATCACTGATAGGTTTATTGAATTTTACATGCCTCGTGGTTGTTCCGGGTCGCGCTTTTCTGCGTGGCATGATAGATCTTACCAAAGGCGTCAACAAGCCTCATCATCACATTCGTCTTTCGCGAGGCGCTAAATTAGATATCATGCTTTGCCTGCGTTTTCTTGACGATTTTAACGGGCGATCGTTTTTCTTAAGTGACGTTTGGGAAACATCGCAGAGTCTTCAGCTTTATACTGATGCCGCAGGTTCGATAGGTTTTGGTGCGGTCTTTGATCGCCATTGGCTTCACGGAACTTGGCCGAACCACTGGAAATCTTATAACATCGCGCTTTTGGAGCTTTTTGCCATTGTCATTGCTGTTCACATTTTGGGGCACATAATGGCAGATAAACGTATCATATTTTTCACTGACAATGCCGCCGTTGTTGACATTATTAATAATCAGACGTCTAAACACCAGGGTATCATGGTGCTATTAAGGGATTTAGTGCTAAGTTGCCTTAAACATAACATACTATTTCAAGCTCGCCATATTCCTGGGTTAATCAATTCTAGTTCCGATTACATTTCACGTTCCCAGGTAACAAAGTTCAAGGAACTTTCACCAGACGCCGACCAATTCCCGACCCCCATCCCCGAGAACCTAGTGCCGAAGAGTTGGGTGCTAACTTGACAGGTCTACTAAATTCTACTCTCACAGCCAGCTCGCGGCGGCTGTATCAGCGTGCGTGGGTCGTTTTCCGCCAATTCTATGCTCACTTGTACGTTTCAACCAATCCTACTTTACCTTTACCCCCTACTTGTATCCCTCTTTTTATTTCTTATCTCTCGTTTCGTAAATTGGCCTGTTCCACGATCAAATCATATCTTTCTACCATTTCATATGCACATAAGCTCAAAGGTTTTAATGACCCTACCAAATCTTTTCTAATTGACAAGCTGTTGACAGCTTTGAGCCGTCAGCAGCCGTCGGACATTCGTCTGCCAATTACACGGCCCATATTGCACCAGCTGATTCGTTCTCTTACTTTTTCTAACTCTTCGGCATTTCAGCGTTCTCTTTTTTCGGCGATGTTTCTTGTCGCGTTTTACGGTCTTTTTCGCATAGGTGAGCTGGCGTCCAAGAGCACACGATTTGCGAGTTCTGTCGTTCAGTACAGTAATCTAACATACTTATTTCGTCAAGGCCAAGTGCAGGGGGCAAAGATTACTATTACCGAGTATAAGCATAACGTTAGTCGCAGACCTTTTGACATTTTACTTGCAAAGGATGTCTCTTCCCCTTTTTGCCCTGTTACAGCCCTATATAAGTATTGTAATATCAGGGAAACTCGTCCAGGGCCACTTTCTTGTCACGCTGATCAGACCGCCATCTCTGTTCACCAATTCAATGTCGCACTTCAACAGTGCTTATCTTACTGTCGTCTGGACAGTAGTCGGTACACGACTCATAGCTTTCGCATTGGCGGCGCGTGCCATGCCGCTGAAAAAGGTTATTCTGACGCGCAAATTCGTGCTCTTGGTCGCTGGAAATCCGACGCATTTAAAGTCTATTTGAGGTCGGAAGTTCTTCACGCTAATTAATTGATTTGCCCACTTGTCGAAAGTAGGTCAGACAATTGGGCTGCTACTTGGTGGGCTTAGACAACCATTTTTAACTGACCTTTGAGTTGTTAGTTCCTAATCTTATTCATTCTGCTTTTACGCCTGCTGCATGGGTCAGTCATTGGGCTGCTAGTTGGCTGGCATTAGTTCTCGTTTCGTATGACTTAGTTCGTTCTGTTATTATGCCTTTTTGGTAGGTCAGTGATCGGGCTGCTACTTGGTTGGCATTATTTCTCGTTTCCCTTGTCTTAATGTTAGGCAGTTTTTTAGAACTTTTGTTCTTATGCTGGTTGCGTAGGTCAGTCATTGGGCTGCTTCTTGGTTGACAATTTTTAAGTCCGAATTTTCCTATCGATTATCATATCTCTAATTTGTACCAGACGTTCAATTTCACGGTTCAGACAAGGGCTGCCGTTTCGTTGGCGTCACGTTTAGTATTGACAAATTTTTATTTTCTTCTTCTTCTTCATAGTTTTAAAAGTGTCCAACAATTTTTCGCTTTCCAGCTTTCACGCGAGCTTTGCTTCTTTTTGTGGGGCTTCAGCCACAGTTGTGTGGCTTGTGGCGGATTTTTGTCGCCCCATTTTTTATTCAGTAGGTTAATCGGTTTACATATATCGATGTGTTGTGATTCTGTTAGCTTTGATTTCATTAAACCTGCCACAACCGTGGCCAGATTTATCCAACACAGTTGTTTGTTTATATTTTAATTCTGTTCCTTGTCGGAAAGTACGTGACCGGAAATGCAAGCAGAGCTCGCGCAGAGTTGGGCCTTGTTTAGAACACATGCCTTGATATAAAAACTATTTACATAAGAACAACATGATCTACATAATAAAGAAGGAAGGCTTGTATCAAAAGAAGGTGGACTCCAGCCTCGACTGCAACTGTAAAATAGGCTATTATTGCTTTCCCTTTTAGATGCAGATGTAGCGTTTGCTTATACGATGGACTGCATTTGCATGTATTAAATAACCAGCAAAATAGTGATTAAGTCAAATATATGTATATGGTGTCTCTCATCTTGAACATTAATTGCAGTGAACCGCATCCGTTAGGAAAGCACCCAGACGTTTACCGACTCCAATTCTTCTCTAGTTTTGTAGTAAACAGGTATTCTAACTTATTTTGACAGAATGGGTCGTGGTGAGGAATGTTTTTTAAAAAAATATAAAAAAATAAGGAGGTCACTGAGTCGCTACATGCATCACTCCGTCATTCAGAGGCAGTACAGTCAGAAATTCACAACCTGGCAAGAAACAGAAAAACTAAGCCTAAGCTTATAAAACTGAACAACATCTAAATAATTGAAGATAAAGACGTTGTACACAGTTTGAGTGATAAAACATACCACATAAACAATAAGCTTACCTTTCTCCGTTTTCTCCTGGTCGGCAGGACGTTTCAGTGAAGTGGAAAAATACGTTTCCTCCTCCAAAAAAGACTTTATTGTGGCATTTTGTAAATTAAAAATTTCCGATCCCAGTCGATGTACTTTGCTCTAGATGAGTTTTTTTTTTTGCAACGCACTCAGTAATATACGCATATTAAAAATCTTTTCAACACCCCTATAAGTACTATAGGCTAAAAGAAAGACATCACACTTTGTAAACCTTTACATGCCATCTTGAATTAACGAACGATTCGCCTTGGTAGCCATCTTTGTTTACTCACTTGCGCGGTGAGGAGAGTGAACACTACAAAATCAAACAGTCAATCATACAAAAGTCTCCTTTGTTCGATCTGTGCTGATACTCGCTGAAGTTTCGATTCCTTGAACATAACATTTTGTCATCTGGTAGTAAATATCTTCCCCTATGTGCGAGTTTGGAACCGGTCATGGGGATGACTTTGTATATAACCGTTTCATCCCTATTCTTCCTTCAGATAGGTGAGTACATTTAGCTGGAAACTTTTTACAGACTTCGTTTCTGTTTCTGACCCAATGACTTTGAGACTGGAGGATTGTTTGCTATGAACTTACTTCGGAGATGAATATTTGGCTTGAGCATCGGCT